ATTTGGTTTATTGCTTAATGTGTTCAAACCAATTAAAGCTCACAATAATAATACGAATTTTTACAGTTATTAGTTACTTTAAAATTTCTCTTTAATTCACAATCCATACTTTTTTAAATTTTTTTTTACAATAGTGTTACCATTATGTTATTTATATGACGACCCAGTCACTTTGTATGTAACATTTCGTCAATTATATATACGTTACTTTTACAAACTACATACCATATCGGATGAAAATAGTGTAAGTTTATCGTTTATTAAATCTTTCGTATAACCATAAACCATAAGACATTGTATTTTATGACTAATGTATGGAACTGCAGTGAACAGGAACACAGGTGGGAACAATCGAGTGTATTAGACACAAAATTACAGGACTTTTTAATAAAATCTAACAATCATATAGTAAATGCTCAATTGTCTCAAAATGATTCAGACTTCATTGTTCCTGCATTTCCATACAAATTACATTCTGTTTCCATTGTTTACTGTTCGATACTCTTGTCTATCTGCTACCAGACATTCTGTTCACGACTAACATCATATACTACTTATGTCGACATAAGTAGCACACACTAAAGAACCTTAGGGATAAAAATAAACTTCTGCATTATATTTTGAGAAGTAAAACTAAGTGTTTTAAATGGTGTTGATAAGTTCAAAGCTAAGAAAATAAAAAACCAAATCAACACTTTATTAAAAATTTACTTACCTATTTGTCTTTCGTAATTATCAGGGTATTTTATGCTTATGCCTGTTATTTGAACGTTTGTTACAAAATAAGGAGCCCGAGATTTTCTTTCATTTAAAATCATTTGGTGCACAACCGTGAGTTGAATTTTTATAGAAATTACATAATTTCCTCATCAAACCAACTTTAATATATTTTCTTAGTCTTAATAATTATGTATTAGCTTTTATTACTAGAATGAAATAAACAGAGGTAGTGGTAAAAGTAGAAAGAAAGCCTGAACATTAATTAAAATTGAGCTGGAAACCTAAGTAGTTATTAATCTAATCTATTCACTAATATACTATATTCATCCACTGATTAAATGTCTTTCATTGTTAAACTGCTTGTTTCAGACCACTGTTGTCGGACTCCGATAAGCATGCCTGTGTTCTAGAACCTGACGAATGGTGAATATGTGGTCAATGCTTCTATGAATCCGGTGTTCGTCTTGCTATGTTAATGAGGTGTGGCAACTTGGGCTGATGCATGTATGTGCCTGGTCCTACGTTGTAACTGACTGATTGACTGAAACTGCTTGTATTATTATTTAATTATACTACAGGATTATCAGTCAGTCAGTCAGTTACAACGTAGGACCAGGCACATACATGCATCAGCCCAAGTTGCCACACCTCATTAACATAGCAAGACGAACACCGGATTCATAGAAGCATTGACCACATATTCACCATTCGTCAGGTTCTAGAACACAGGCATGCTTATCGGAGTCCGACAACAGTGGTCTGAAACAAGCAGTTTAACAATGAAAGACACTACAGGATTATGCCGAATATCAATCAGGTTCACAATTAATGCAACGATGAAATGATGGGACGTATCTACTATGGTTAGTTTGCAATATATGGACACTATAATGTTCACGAAATTAAAAACAATAATTGGAGTCTAGAATATGGGTGTCAAAATGGTTTTAGTTCTCTTAATTACTGGGATGAATCAGAGAGAAGTCGACCTTTGTAATTAACTGAAATAATCTCCAGAATACAGTCTCTATTTAAATTTGATAATTTAATCCAGTATCCTGTAAAAATATTTATGGTAGGCTAAGTTTAGATTAAAAAAGCTATGATAGAAATTCGTGATTAGCATACTAAATGATTATCTTTAATTTTAAGAGTGATTCGCCAAATGAAGCAGAAGAATACACTACCATATCATGTAGTAAGACTGATGATTACCATAGCGTTTGAGTGAATCATTGATACTGTCAGGTTTACAATATAAATATAAAATTAGGTGATGAATTCACTGTACCACTAAGCTCAACTAAAGTGCCTGGCGCTGACACAATCGCTAAAGTAATGTCGGTTGACTGGCTAAAAAAGAGTAAAGTGTATTTTGATAAACACTTAAATTATATGGCTTTTATTCTAGATGTGTTCCGAAATGAAAAAAACAACCGCGGTGTAAGCTTGAGACCAATCCTTTGCTTTAGGCTTGTAACGCTCAAATTCCAGTAGGTCACTTTCACACAAACAAAAGCAATGCTTCAAACAGACCCTTAATCGTTTTTCTCATATAACTAATTTTCTCACTAAAACCAGTTATATATGTTTTTAAGACACTATAAGCTTCAGTGTGGTTAGACTGTCGATAAATCCCTTTAGTCATACAGAATTATTATGAAAAAACACTTGGAGAAAATGACAAATTATCTGATTATTACAGGTATATTCATTTAAAGAAGGTACGAAGTAGCGAAACGGCAATCATAAACATTAATACTTAAAGAAGCATTTAAGTGAGTAGAAGGAAAGGACACTACATCAACAACAAACGTTTCCTTTCAAAACCAAACTATTTGCTATTCATTTATTTTGCAGTTGAAACAAAGTCAATCACCATGGTTCGAACCGCAGTTACTGATGAAAATTCAGGGTCTCAAGGTGCAAGTTGTATTTGAATGTATTTTCTGATTAAGTTCTTTGGATGTATGCCATCAACAAAGGAAGAGTTAGGTGAAAAAACTCAGTATGATGTGATTGGTGCAGAACATGTCGGTATATTACTTCAAAGTAGTACATTTTAGGCGTATAGTTACGCTTACACTTGTGGTGACATAAAGAAGACGTAACGTTAAACGCTGATTTTTATCCTTCCTTTAAAGGTTAACGTATATATTCATGTGTTATAAGTTGTGGCCTGAATGCCCTGTTAATGTATACGCAGTGATACCGCCAATTAGAGAACAGTGACTTATCGATCGGACCAGTGACGCGTAAAACACGTGCGAGCAGTCTAGAGTCCTGCTTTACGCCTAGCCCAGCCAGATAAGTCCAGAACACAAATCTCAGCCTCTGTGATATGAATCATGTATGTCAAGCATACGGGTTTAAACACCAATCAAACAGACTACATCATAAAATAGGAAGCAACATTTGTACAAGATTTGGCCAAATTTGGCTGTGAACGTGGAGGTAGTGATTAATAGACGGTATAATTCAAGAATGGTAAATCGTACAATAATAGTTCATAGGTCAAAATGAAGCTCATGACTAGAGGAACATGAATATGAATAATTTAGTTATTCAACAGTTATACGATAAAAATGTACGTATAGTGCTGATCCATAAATGGATCACAAAAGTTACCATTCATTATACTTATCGGGACGTAACACCATGAATATCATAAATACTTAACTATTTCAATATCACATTACCGATCATGTCTTCAAGTGTGATTATTCGTTCTGTTACTAAGATATAAACAAAAACTGAATTTTTACTTAAATTGGATGCCTTGCTAGATGAAAGATTTCTTTCACGAAACAAATCCCTCTCAAAAGTATGTTATCCAAACTGAAAAATCACGTCTTACTATTCAAAACTTCAATTTTTATGTACAAGGGTTTATAGAATGGTCAAAAATTTATCTTTATTGTAGAGTCCTTGTAAAAATAATCCTAATGTAAACTTATCAATAACACTTTAAAAAATTCTACGCCTGAAGGACAAATATTTTTCACTGCTGCGAAAACACATACATATCACATCTAATCAATAAATACAAAATATTTCTCAACTGTCACTATTTACAAGAGCAATTCATTACTCTTTAGTAGTTGAAATAACTAACTCAGCAATGACTGATTTACTGAGTTATTTTCTCTACACAGATACATTGAATAGTCTATATGGTAAGTGAGCCTGATAACATTCTACTTCTCCAAATATAGAATAACTAAACTGTTATGGTATTGATATAATCCAGAACTCTGTAACGTGGTTTGGGATTATAAGGCTAACAATATTTACTTATTTTCTTAAACGTATATAACAAATATTAACACAAGTTCTAAGTTCTTCACACACAGAAAAACTATCACAATTGTTGTGAATTTTATCACTTGTTTTAACAAGTAATGTTTAACTTTTTAATAACTTTTCTTCAGTGTCCGTTTTATATTTAAATGGCTAATGCGTGCATTCAGTGGCTTTTTGGCGCCTGACCAAGTACTTTTACTATGGGATAGAATCCTTGGATTTGATTCTTTAGAAATTTTATCAGGTGCAGACAACTGTAAAATGTCTTATTATATACGGTAAAATAATTGTGTACCTTTATGTTTTATATATGAATGTGTGTTGACCGTAAATGAAGCATACAGACATAAACTACTCTGAATCTCGATAGTGCTTGGAAATTAAAACAAAATACTGGATATAATAGTTGAAACTAATAGCTGACTTCAGCAACTGTTATTTTGACATGTACTGAACTCTTCAGCAAATTAGAACAGGGAGATCACAAAACCGTCAAATAATAGTGTAACATTTACCAAACATATTTTCGCATAGATGAAGTAAAATGGTTTTCAGACAGAGCCTAAAGTCAAAGGAACAAAATCACCTACATTTGTACTAACTCCTGAAGTCTTTTTTAGAAAACTTGCTGGCTGCACTTAATCACAGTGATCAAATTGAAGTCTTGTAGACAACATAGTCGTTACCAAGATAGATAACCTGAAAATAATACTTCCGACGGGAAGAAAGAAGTCCAATGTCGGTTACAAAGTTGGCGACGTAGATCATCAGTATAATGCGTTTTAAATTAACGAAGCTTTGAGAGTGGAGTTCGGTTCGCTTTTTATCTACATATCTGGAAAAACTGTTTTGATTGTGTTCTCTGCCTACTCTAAGCACAATAATTCCACTAACATACATACTGAATGTGCTAACAACCAAGTACTCACTTAAAATCATCCTATTTCAAAACCGCCAGTCGGAACATTAGAAAGTCCAGTCAAGAACCACTTATTGTTCGGAAAAAAGAGATTATACAAATTTATTTATTATTATTTATTTAAACGCATAAATATTGGTACAGGGGGCACCAAATATATATGCACCACACAAAACAATGAGAATTTAAGAAGGGAAAAAAAAGTAAGGAACGTAGGGGATTATAAAATAAAAAAAAAGAACAATAGTGGGGGGAGACGAAAAGATACGCTCAGAAGAAATCTTACATTTAAGGAGGATACAGCCACTTTTTATGAAGAAATTAAAAAAAGGTTACAGCAGGATCGCCACTGGCTTCTATTCTGAGCTATATCTGATAACGTCTCTAGCCACTGTGTTACACCATCTCTCGGACCACAGCCAGGAAGTCGTGAAGGATCAACAGAAGCTAGCCCTTTGCAGCTTTCTTTCATACCACGACACCATGTCATATACTGACCACCTCTCCGCTTTTTCCAACCAGTCCCAGAGTCGGCAAATAATGCACGACGAGTAATTTTCTGGGACGACATTCGTAGAACATATCCAAGCCACCGAAGTCAGTGTTTCAAGATGGTGACACCAATTGGATTGTCGTCTTTGTGCCCGAACACACGATGCCGAACATCTGCATTATTGACATGGTGTTGCCACTGAATGTCAGCAATCCTTCGGAGACAGCGATGATCGAACACAGAGTCGTCTAACATCCTCAACTCGGAGAGGCCAGGTTTCACAAGCATACAGCAAAACTGCTCTCACCGACGCGTTGTAGATCCAAACTATTACAGCCAGACTAACATCACGAAGGCGCCAAAGATGGCCCAGATTGGCATAAGCCGCTCTGGCTTTCACTATACGAGCATTGATCTCATCACTCACACCACCACCAGCACTTATGCAGCTACCCAGGCACACGAACTTCTCGACTACTTCTATCTGCTCACTATCCAGAGTGAGTACAGGATTAGAATCCTGCCAGTCTTGTAGAAGTACTTTGCACTTCGAAGGTGTAAAGCACATACCATACCTACGGACATTGATTGCCAACCGATTAAGTGCAGATTGCATAGCTTAGGCATTCTCGCACAATAAGACAATATCATCCGCATACTCAAGGTCGAGAAGTCTTTCTCCAGGCAACAGATCCACACCACCATTACTTACATCCATCAGAGCTGTCTCCAGAATGTCATCGATGGCAAAGTTGAGGAGGAATGGTGAGATTGGGCAACCATGCCTAACCCCACTGCTTGAATGGAATAATGGAGAAAGGTGGTTGTATGCTTTCACTCTACCTGGTGTTTGTGTATAGGGCTTTTAGGATGTTAATAAACTTCTCAGGCACACCCTTCTTCAATAGACAATCCCAGAGAACAGTTCTGTCCAACGAATCGAAGGCAGCCCTGATATTAAGAAACACTACGATTGTTGGCCTTTGATAAGTATGGCGGTGTTCTAACATTTGGCGGAGGGTGAAGATATGATCAATACATCCTCGACCAGAACGAAACCCAGCCTGCTCCTCGCGAGTCAATGTTTCTCGGGTTTTGAACAACCTACGAAGTATGACCGAAGCCAATAGCTTGGACGTGATCGGAAGTAGACTTATCCCCCGATAGTTGTTACAGGAACGACATGAACCCTTTTTAAAGATAGGGACAACTATCGACGTTGGTACACTCTCTAGTTCCCAGACCTTTGCAAACAACGTCGTCAGTCCCTTAGTCAGAAAGTCACCACCATCTTTAAAAAGAGCCGTAGGTATGTCGTCTGGGCCCGGTGATTCGTAACGTTTCAAGAGTTGGAGTTCCTTGCGAACTTCCGCCTCATTTGGTGGATCAGTTGTCACCGGCCATGGAGGGCAGGACAGTCTGACCCATGTTGCCGGAGCAGCAGGCCAGTTGAACTGAACTGCCCTTCGAAAAATTCTGCCCATCGTCCAAGACGTCGATGGATGTTAGTGATTGGCATCCCGTCATCCTCGCAGATTGTTTCGCTCACACCAGACTTCTTGCTGCCAGTGGCTCGGATGAGTTGGAAGAGCTTCCGGTAATTACCAGATGCAGCTGCTGCTTCCAGCTCATTAGCACGCTTCGACCACCAGGCTTCTCGGTCCTTACGCAAGCTTCGCCCGATTTCATTACGTAACATCCTTCGTCTGTGGTCAAACTCACGGTCACCAGGAGTAGACCGACGGGCTTCAATCAGTTGTAAGGAACCAGAAAAAACCCAGTGCTTGTAAGCGGGACGTTTCGCAAACCCACAACAGACTGTACCCGCCATTTTCATGGCGTCATGCAATTGCAACCAATGCTCATCTATACTTTTCGGTGGAATGGTAGCTAGCCTAGAAGCTAGCTCGATTGGGTACTCACTAGCAACAGAAGTTGCAGCCAGCTTGCTAACGTCAATCCTTTGGTGGCGGTCACTTCGTTGTCCACTGAAAAGTAAGGTAAGATTGGCGCAGACCAGAGCATGATCAGATTCCAGATAGGCACTCCAAAAGGAGCGATAGTCTTGTACACAACCACGCCAGCGGTAGCTGATCTCGATGTGATCAGTCTGAGTTCAGGCTTGAGATGTCGAGGAAGGACGCCAGGTGGCACGTCGGCGATGACTGTGCCGAAAGTTAGTGCTAGCCAGAAACAGGTTGTGGTCTGTGCATAGTTGCAGTAGACGTTCCCCGTTATCTGTCCTGCGACCAACGAGTCCCCATCGGCCACCTAAACGACTCTCTTCTGTGCCTAGACGCCCGACCTGAGCATTCAAGTCTCCAGCTAGTACTACAATATCTGTCGAACGCACTTTCTAGAGAACATTTAACTGGTGGTAGAACTCATCCTTGATTGCATCCGGGCTGCAATCTGTCGGGGCATAGCCGGAGACGACGAAAAGACATCGTTTCTCACGCCGATTTCTTCTCACTTTGATGGAACTTTCTAATCTAACAGCACATAACCGACTGCTAATGGGGATCCAGTCAATTAGTGCTGCCTCAGCTCTTGCGCTTAGTGCGACACCAACGCCAGCAAGACCAGACGAAGATGCCACAGGGTTCCCGGATAAACGCACATAAAACAAGCTTTTTGAAGTGACAGATGGAGAGCGAACTTGTAGTACTTCACTAGAGTCTTGAATACGGGTCTCGGATAGACAACAAACGTCGATATTAAGACTTTCCAAAGACATAGCCAGCCCTATCTGTCGTGCGACGTGCATAAGTGTGCGAACGTTGAAGGTAGCCAGTTTGAATGGTGCGCGTGGTTTCAGAAAGACTGCTTCAGCACTCTTATTTGATGGTAACATACAATTTTCAACCAGGCAGTGACTCGAGAACGTTTAGATAGAGCCGAATTTTCACCATAGGCGAGCTGCTGTATAAGTCGAAAAATAAGGATAGATAGAGTGGAAATAAAAGAGAGTGAATAAATGACGTGGTAAATAATAATAATAATACTAATAATGTTAATTGTTTGACGATAAATCGCAGCGTGAACAGTTTTCAGAGAAGATCATCATTTTCATTATATTTGTGTGTGGGCTGTGATACTGCCCGGGTGCCCAGACCGAAGCAGGTGGTTTTCTTAGGGGGCCACACCCGTAGCCTTCGACCTAAAGGTCTAACCCACAAGGCAGTGGAGCATCGTGAGGAGATGCAGTCCCATGGGAGCCGGTGACCAAGAAATCCGTTCATACGCCATTTGTTCCCTCTGGATACTGGAGCCCATGTGCACCATAGAGTTGGGATCCGGTTATAGCGCCGGATATTCGCTTTTCGTCCTCTCATTTTCGTAAACAACACCCCCGCCACGAGAAGGCAGTGAGTAGGACTTCCCTGGCAGAGGCTGTATACGCGTGGCCGTGTGAGAGTATTTCGAGAGGGAGGGCGAACCCAACCCACTTTCGGCCATACCAGGGTATTCGGGGGCATATATCCAAGCGACTAAATAAATAGATGATCATAATACACCGTAAATTTCAATAGGTTTACAGACAATTAACTAAATTTCTCTGATTAGCGATCTATGTTGCTTCCTTTAATTGGCCAAACGAAAGCTAACATTTAGGATAATAATAGAATATCATGAATCAGCTATCGAATGAATAAGTAATAAATGCAGAAACAGACATCCAAAAAATAACCCCTTAATTTTCCAAGAGTTATTTCCGCTCTTCTAAACATTTTCTGTATAAATGGGAATATTAATTATTTGCATAGCAATTTGTGGCTGCAAAACAAATCTACCATGTAGAAAATGGTTTTCAAGCTAAAATTTCTGAAAAGTCACTAGCTATTAGTTCTCTATGTTTCCATCATATTAAAGATCAGATATCATTTTATAAATATTGACAAAATTACAAGAAACCTAATATCAGTCACAACTAATAGTGTGACAAATTTGATCCAAGTATCAGGATAGGGTTGTGGATATTGTTGTTTTAATCGAAATTATCGACCGATCAATGTTAAAGCACCAGTAAAAACATGGAAGCTCACTGGTCTAGAGGTTAAGCGTTCGCGCGCGATACTGTAGGTTCTGGGTTCGAGTCCAGTGTGCAGGATCGTGGGTGCGCACTTCTGAGGAGTCCCATGCCAGGATGAGACGACCGTCTAGCATTCCCAGATTTTCAACGGTGGACTAGCATTAGTTGGTTCATGATCTCAATTAAGTTGCATACCCTTCAGAAAACACTAACAGCTCACACTGATTTTCGGGATGAGTAATTGGTCACCATGGGAAATTGAATTTTGGAATCTGAAGGTAGGCATGCTAAAGGGACCAAAACACCTGTCCATCGATAGGTATGAACAAGACCTTGCAATACGTCAAGGGAAATGTATGCAATTGAAGACCGATCCAACCCATGAACTTGTCAGTAAGGGGTTTTTGAGATGAAGTGAAGGAGAACACAGGCGAGGACGACAGATTATATTTGGCACAAAATTACAGTTACTTGGTAAAATAGAAAAAGTATACTCCAATACTTTATATGCCAAATATTCATTAATTATCTCGGACTTCATTTCCATACCAATTACTCTGTTCTCGTTCTTTCCTCTTCGATCTTTCCAACCTTCTGCTGCCAGATATTCTATTCCTGGTTGGCGTTATATACTACTTATGTCGACACAAGTACCACACACCACAGAGACAGTAGATTTTCATTGAAATCATGAACCGATCCAAGTTGGACAACCATTAAGACTTGGAAACATTAAACGGTTGGTTGGGAAGATCGAAGAGGAAAAAACGAGAACAGAGAGTAATTGGCATGAAAATGAAGTCATTATGTTCAGTGGGTAAATTTTTCACGTGAAATTGTCTCTCATTTGGTAATTATGCATTAAATTCACGATCACTGTCATTTATATTCACAAATTTAATTGTTTTACTACAGTTCTAGCTGTTGCTATATTCTCTTACCGTCGTACTAATCTACTCCTGGTGAAAACAAGTGCAGATGTTGAGGTGTGAAAATTTTTTGATACATTTAATTAATGTCTGTTTGATTTTACTTTACGATTCCTATTATTTCTGACATTATAATTTCGAAGTTTGAAGAACAATCAACCAGCGCAAATATATTTAACCAAGAATCATTTCTGAGAAGACTGCTTACAAACACTTCACCAAACGTCTTAGTTATGACCTAAAACTTGGGTAGACATCTAGTGCAGTCAGTCATACGCAAAAAAGAAAACGACACATGTGCATCAGTTCAAGTTCCCATGCCATATTAGCACAGCGAGATAAGATTATCATTGGGATCATGAACCGATCTAAGTAAGACAGCCATTAAAAATTAGGATGTCCTAGACTGCCGTTTTCTCCTAGCATGGGACTCCTTGGCAGCGTGCATCTACAACAACGCAACCGCCAGTCGAACTGACAACACTCAATCTCGTACGCATACTTAACCTCTAGACTGGTATCGTCTTAATACGATCAGTCTGTAACTTTCTTCCAACGTACTCCTACACCAAACAGTGTCACTCCTTCAGGCAGGGTATACGTAATTCATATCCCAAATACCTTTGTTGATGAAGATGCACAACCTCACCAACCGATTCACCATGCATCGAGAATACCTATGTCGAATACTAGTAAACTACGGATATCCCCCATTTCTAATGGCCATGTTTAACACGCATAAAGTAGAATCTCTCGTGCGTTGATAAAAATAACGTTTAAGGTATAAAAAAGAGAATGTTTCCATTAGTCGTCAAAAGGAAGAGTTCATTTTCATAGCTTAGAAACAAACTTCCATTTATAAGTACACGTTTAAAAACTCAATAATAAATTTCAACAGACTTTAGTAAGAATTGGAACGAAAATCCGGGAACTACTAAATAAATACTATTAATGGAAATATGATTTATGTATCTGATACAAAAAGAAGCTCGAAAAACAAGGTACTTAAATAAAGTTTGGTCATATAATATGAAATTACAGAATTCAATCCGAAATAAATACACAGCAGTTCCGCCGGTTTACGTAGTGGAGTGGTTCACCAAACAACAAAATTAGCGGTTACTACACTTGGTCATTAACATTCTATATTTCGTCACACTGTGCTGAAATATGTACGGAAAACATCATAATGTACTACGTATTGAGATAAGATTCCCTTGTAATCTATTATTTTTCTGGGTTAAGTGGCCAAAAACATAGAACCCCGTAGCGATAACTCGCATCCAATTAATGTGAGCACGTAATAAGAAATATGGCCCTGTACTTCTATCTACGATATTGTTCTTTCTACACGAATTTAAAATATTTGAAAATAAGGTTTTTAATTAAGTTTCGAACTGAACTAATAATTTTGAGCTCTACTGATAAACAGAAAGAAAATCGTTTTGCCCTGGCTCCTTATGGATCACATGAAAATAATAAAGTATAGTGATGCGGCATTCATGATCTAACCCAAATAGGCGTACGTATAATGAACACCTTGATTATGAACAAACAATTAAGCAGCGTTTATGTATTTATCTAATAATTTATATCCACTTAAATGTAAGTAATAAATGCTCAACTTTTATTTTCAGGCAGTTTTAGCAGACTTGACATCCGTACGAGTGATCAGTCTTCTACAAATGGTTATGTTCACAAACTGAAGTAATCATATTGGGATGTTAAGTTGTGAAAAATTTGTATATTCCAATGATACTGCATTATACAAAGTTCAGACTTTTTTCTTTAAAATAACTAATTTGGTAATATTATCAGTCAAAATAATCTGTCAATAAATGTCGCCAAATTTCGGCTGAATGTTCAACAAAACAATTTCGAAGGTCGAGAAAGCGTTTTTTGACTGGTTTGCTTTAAAGAGATGAGGTATTCGAGTATTCTGTCGTCATGAAAACCTATGTTATTGGCTATAAACGTATTAGCCTTTCTAAGCGATGCGCGCAAAGTTACTTAGCATATCACCATGAGTCAAATAAACAGTCATAACTTGAGTTATAAACAGCAATTTACTTTCGATCGTACCCATCACAGCTTCCTAGATTACGAAATCTGTCCTTTAAATAAAATGTTTAAATATAAAGGTGAGTTGAGTTATAGATCATTCTCATACCTCTAAAACCGCATAATTAAGAATATATATATATATATATATATATATATATATATATATATATATATATATATATATATATATATATATAGGAATCAAGAGTAAAGCAGTTACAGGCTGTGATTGATTTTATACTATAGCAAGATTTTATATCCACCACATAAATGATGACGAATTTGGTCACTTATTTATATGGGTAGGAAATAGACAGTGGATTTTAGTAACAACAACGGGATAAGCTGTTGTGTGTTATCTGAACAGAACCATATTGCATGATGAAATATGCCACTAACTTTATATCTCATATTCTATCAATAATCCCGTCTATAGCACATATCTGAAATTAGAGCAACAAAAAGTGAACAAATAAAGTACGTTTTCACAATGCGATTGACCTTTATCGAATTATTATGCCCTGGTATGGCCGAGAGCGGGGAGGGTTCGCCCTCCCTCTCGAAATACTCTCACACGGCCACGCGTATACAGCCTCTGCCAGGGAAGTCCTACTCACTGCCTTCTCGTGGCGGGGGTGTTGTTTACGAAAATGAGAGGACGAAAAGCGAATATCCGGCGCTATAACCGGATCCCAATTCTATGGTGCACATGGGCTCCAGTATCCTGCGGGAACAAATGGCGTATGAACCAACTTTTGGTCACCGGCTTCCATGGGACTGCATCTCCTCACGATGCTCCACTGCCTTGTGGACTAGACCTTTAGGTCGAAGGCTACGGGTGTGGCCCCCTAAGAAAACCACCTGCTTCGGTCTGGGCACCCGGGCAGTATCCCAGCCCACTCACTAAAACTATGATGAACAATTTGCTTATGGAAAATATTCCTTTCTATCTGATTAACATTGAAATAACTCGTACTATTATTATTATTGTTATTATTATTACTATTATTATTATTATTATTACTCTACCACGTCATTTATTCACCCTCTCTTATTCCTACTTTATATATGCGTTTCGACCTAGACAGCAGCTCACCTATGGTGAAAATTCAGCTTTATCTATACGTTCCCGAGTCACTGCCTGGTTGAAAATTGTATGTTACTACCGAACATGAGTACTGAAGCAGTTTTTCTGAAACCACGTGCACCATTCAAACTGGCTACCTTCAACGTTCGCACACTTATGCAGGTCGGACAACAGATAGGACTGGCTATGTCTTTGGAAAGTCTTAATATTGATGTGTGTTGTCTATCCGAGACCCGTATTCAAGACTCTGGTGAAGTACTTCAAGTTCGCTCTCCATCTGTCACTTCAAAAAGCTTGTTTTATGTGCGTTTATCCGGGAACCCTGTGGCATCTTCGTCTGGTCTTGCTGGCGTTGGTGTCGCACTAAGCGCAAGAGCTGAGGCAGCACTAATTGACTGGATCCCCATTAACAGTCGGTTATGTGCTGTTAGATTAGAAAGTTCCATCAAAGTGAGAAGAAATCGGCGTGAGAAACGATGTCTTTTCGTCATCTCCGCCTATGCCCCGACAGATTGCAGCCCGGATGCAATCAAGGACGAGTTCTACCATCAGCTAACTGTTCTTCTCCAGAAAGTGCGTTCGACAGATATTGTAGTACTAGCTGGAGACTTGAATGCTCAGGTCGGGCGTCTAGGCACAGAAGAGAGTCGTTTAGGTGGCCGATGGGGACTCGTTGGTCGCAGGACAGATAACGGGGAACGCCTACTGCAACTATGCACAGACCACAACCTGTTTCTGGCTAGCACTAACTTTCGGCACAGTCATCGCCGACGTGCCACCTGGCGTCCTTCCTCGACATCTCAAGCCTGAACTCAGACTGATCACATCGAGATCAGCTACCGCTGGCGTGGTTGTGTACAAGACTATCGCTCCTTTTGGAGTGCCTATCTGGAATCTGATCATGCTCTGGTCTGCGCCAATCTTACCTTACTTTTCAGTGGACAACGAAGTGACCGCCACCAAAGGATTGACGTTAGCAAGCTGGCTGCAACTTCTGTTGCTAGTAAGTACCCAATCGAGCTAGCTTCTAGGCTAGCTACCATTCCACCGAAAAGTATAGATGAGCATTGGTTGCAATTGCATGACGCCATGAAAATGGCGGGTACAGTCTGTTGTGGGTTTGCGAAACGTCCCGCTTACAAGCACTGGGTTTCTTCTGGTTCCTTACAACTGATTGAAGCCCGTCGGTCTACTCCGGGTGACCGTGAGTTTGACCACAGACGAAGGATGTTACGTAATGAAATCGGGCAAAGCTTGCGTAAGGACCGAGAAGCCTGGTGGTCGGAGCTTGCCAGTGAGTTGGAAGCAGCAGCTGCATCTGGTAATTACCGGAAGCTCTTCCAACTCATCCGAGCCACTGGCAGCAAGAAGTTTGGTGTGAGCGAAACAATCTGCGAGGATGACGGAACGCCAATCACTAACATCCATCGACGTCTTGGACGATGGGCAGAATTCTTTGAAGGGCAGTTCAACTGGCCTGCTGCTCCGGCAACATCGGTCAGACTGTCCTGCCCTCCATGGCCGGTGACAACTGATCCACCAAATGAGGCGGAAGTCCGCAAGGAACTCCAACTCTTGAAACGTTACAAATCACCGGGCCCAGACGACTTACCTCCGGCTCTTTTTAAAGATGGTGGTGACTTTTTGACTAAGGGACTGACGACGTTGTTTACAAAGATCTGGGAACTAGAGAGTGTACCAACGTCATGGAATGAGTCGATAGTTGTCCCTATCTTTAAAAAGGGTTCACGTTGTTCCTGTAACAACTATCGGGGGATAAGTCTACTTCCGATTGCGTCCAAGCTATTGGCTTCCGTCATACTTCGTAGGTTGTTCAAAACCCGAGAAACATTGACTCGCGAGGAGCAGGCTGGGTTTCGTTCTGGTCGAGGATGTATTGATCATATCTTCACCCTCCGCCATACTTATCAAAGGCCAACAATCGTAGTGTTTCTTGATATCAGGGCTGCCTTCGATTCGTTGGACAGAACTGTTCTCTGGGATTGTCTATTGAAGAAGGGTGTGCCTGAGAAGTTTATTAACATCCTAAAAGCCCTATACACAAACACCTCAGGCAGAGTGAGGGCATACAACCACCTTTCTCCGTTATTCCATTCGAGCAGTGGGGTTAGGCAGGGTTGCCCAATCTCACCATTCCTCTTCAACTTTGCCATCGATGACATTCTGGAAACAGCTCTGACGGATGTAAGTAATGGTGGTGTGGATCTGTTGCCTGGAGAAAGACTTCTCGACCTTGAGTATGCGGATGATATTGTCTTATTGTGCGAGAATGCCCAAGCTATGCAATCCGCACTTAATCGGTTGGCAATCAATGTCCGTAGGTATGGTATGTGCTTTGCACCTTCGAAGTGCAAAGTACTTCTACAAGACTGGCAGGATTCTAATCCTGTACTCACTCTGGATAGTGAGCAGATAGAAGTAGTCGAGAAGTTCGTGTGCCTGGGTAGCTGCATAAGTGCTGGTGGTGGTGTGAGTGATGAGATCAATGCTCGTATAGTGAAAGCCAGAGCGGCTTATGCCAATCTGGGCCATCTTTGGCGCCTTTGTGATGTTAGTCTGGCTGTAAAAGGTCGGATCTACAACGCGACGGTGAGAGCAGTTTTGCTGTATGCTTGTGAAACCTGGCCTCTCCGAGTTGAGGATGTTAGACGACTCTCTGTGTTCGATCATCGTTGTCTCCGAAGGATTGCTGGCATCCAGTGGCAACACCATGTCAGTAATGCAGAGGTTCGGCATCGAGTGTTCGGTCACAGAGACGATAATGAAATTGGTGTCACCATCTTGAAACACCGACTTCGGTGGCTTGGACATGTTCTACGAATGTCGTCCCAGAGAATTCCACGTCGTGCATTATTTGCCGACTCTGGGACTGGTTGGAAAAAGCGGAGAGGTGGTCAGTATATGACATGGTGTCGTGGTATGAAAGAAAGCTGCAAAGGGCTAGCTTCTGTTGGTCCTTCACGACTCCCTGGTTGGGGTCCTAGAGACGGTGTAACGCAGTGGCTAGAGACGTTATCAGATATGGCTAAGAATAGAAGCCAGTGGCGATCGTGCTGTAACCTCTTACTTTCTTCATAAAAAGTGGTTGTATCTTCCTTAACTGAAAGATCTCTTCTGATTGTACCTTTCCGTTTCCCCCACCATTGTTCTCTCTCCCTCCCTTTTTTTTTTTATAATTCCCCACGTTCATTACCTTTTTTTTTCTCTTTCCTCCTTCTCTTCAAATTATCATTGTTTTGTGTGGCGCATATATATTTGGTGCCCCTCTGTACCAATATTTATGTGTTCAAATAAATAAATAAATAATAAATAAATCAAGGAAAAAAGTCATAAACGTGAAAATACTTTATTTCCGTTGGAAAAGTTGTAAGCATAAGACAATTTTTGTTAACAAACATTATATTTCATACTTCTTATATTCCATCCCATCTGGAGGTCGTATTTCAACTTTACCTGCTCCAACTTCACTCCAATTGGTGCTAAGGACTGTACCAGCTGATTCCGTCTAAAATATAAAAAAATGCATTACGACTC